CCGGCGAATTTAATCATAAAAAAAATCAAAAGTATAATTATAGAGGTAAGTAACTCAAACGAGAGTTAGTAACACAGATTTAGTTGTTAATTTAATCTAATAAAAATTGGTAAGTCACTGTAATTTAGATTAGTAATTTCGCAAAAGAGTAAGTAAATTCGAAATCATATAAATAAAAGTCGATAAGTTAATACAAAAATCGGAAATTTACAAACTATAAAAAAATTTGCAACTTCATAATGATGGTAATTTACCAATAACTTACCTGAAAAAGAGCTTTCTCCACTTAGTAATCCTAATTGGAATTTACCAGCACAAAAAAAAAACTCCTATTTTTTTTTTTGTTGCATGAAACTATGAACTCTGCGAGGAAACAAAAGGCACTTTTGAAACCGTCATATGCACTCTAAATTCTAATGTTTTCACAAACTCAAAACTAGAAATCAAACTATATAGGAGAAATCCTAATCGCAAGGTCGAATCGCGCTAGCCGAGTTCCTAAATGAGATGTCCCAAAAGCCACACTTATCTTGCCAGTCTTGTCGTATCTGAAAAATATCCTTAATTTTTAGGTATTTTCTAAAAGTTCGTCGTATCACAAAAGGCTGAGCACGATTACATAATAATCAATGATTATAGTAAATGCACTCCCACCAAGTTCAGTGCTTGGCCGAAAGTCATCCAAGACAGATGATTGATGTACAACACCCCTCCCTAATCCAGCTTTGTTGGGGGGTTGGGTGGAAATGCTGGAAGCCATGCATTTTGACTTGACAAAAAGAACATGTAAAAAGAGCCACAAAAGGCTATGCAATGTCCCTGCTCCCCTTATTGGTTTTTCACTGTTCTTTTTTATTTGTGTTTTCAAACCCTAAAGCTGTGTCATCAAGTAAACGTTTCATCCCTTTTTTTTCATTACTATTCTCCTCAGTGCACTCACTTTATAGACAGCCCCAATTTGCCTTAAAGTTGAAGTTTCAGGGAATTAGGAGGCTCCATCATTTGGCCATAGCCAAAATCAGAGAGCATGATGAAAAATTTGAGAAGGGGCATTAGTTCCACACATGCCAAGTAAAGGCATTATGGAACCAATTAAAGAGGAAAAAAAGAGAATAAAGTTAGTGTTGGGAGTTCAGAAGTCTAGGAACATAATCATGTGTCTTGCTTTTCTGAAAAAAAGCGAGGGAGCTTTTCTTCGTCGCTAGAGACAATTTCCTCCGTCTTCAAATCAACTATGAAAGCTCTACGCCACACCTGCCTATTTCATTCATCGGATGCAATCACGGTCATTGAATTATATGGAACCCCACGAGGCCGACCGTGCGGTCTCGTTTTTATGGTCAGAAAAAGGAACTTTCTCTCGTTCAACTGATGGGTGTGATTTATCCTGCTCACCATGAATGAGGTCCATTCAATCATTTTGCTCAGCGTTGTTTCATATTCATCTCCGACAGTCCTGGATAAAAAAGATCAGATTAGCAACTACTTCAACTATGCAAACCATTGGAAAACGTCTAATTCAATAAAAAGACGGTGAATCAAATAAGAAGCTATAGACCAGTACCCTTACGACCATATATAATATTCTTCTCGACTTTAGGGTTGAAAATGTTTGTCTGATCAAAGAATAACATAACTTTTTTGTAATATGGTCAATCCCTTTTGAAGTTACTCGCCAAATGAGCTCCAAAACTTTCTCAAACTGGATGAGATTTGACAAAAGAGTCGATAAAACCATCATGATTTGGTCGAAAGCAGAAGCAGATTAAATTTCCCATAATCAAATGATATCCCAGCGCATAACACTGACCAAAATGCACCATAAAGAGATTAATTGAGCTTTTAAAGTGAATGATTTTGATACAACGGGACTCATATTCAAAACACAACGTCTCTCACTCAATGTAATCTCGAGGGTTACGCCCGTCATCCTGTGAGTAAAGCCTTATTCGATGCACGTGAAAGCGACAGTTTTATGTATATCCCTTAAATAAAGAGACGTACAACCCCACGGATTGCTTCAAAACAAATCAAATGAATAAATTGAAACAAGTCGAATATTTAAAATGCATTGTGCTGTTGAGAAGAAAATGCGAATGACACTGTCTTAGGTCCCATCTTACCTGTGTTTCTCAACATCAGAGTACTTTAAGCATGTCAAGAATCTTTTCCTGGGTTGCTTCCATACGTGAACATATGCAGATCAAACAATTCACGAGATTGATCTCTCAAGTTCAAGGCCATAATCATGTCTTCATTTTCCAAACAACGACTATTTCTCCGGATCAAAGCCGGAAAAAGTGAAAAAGAAAAACTGCCCTTTATGTTCTTTCCAGCTAAGACAATCATTTCATAGAGAGTACTAAATTTAATCGAGATTTAAATATAGTTTACTCACTCCTAAGTCCTAACTAATATATAGTGAAAAGAATTTGTCCATTAAAATCAATCCCGGAAGAGAATAAAGAAACGTTCTTAAGAAACCATACAATCCCTGAATTGATGGGCCTCGCTCGATGCTGCCATCTGAAGCACTGGCCTTTTTTTTTGGATTAGCCCATGTAGCATTCTCGCAAATTTGGGCTCTACTCTTTTTTTCTCCAAATAAGCGGAAAAAGAACCTAATTGGGTTAATTCCAAAAAAAAGCACCAACTTTAGGTCGATGGACAATTCTGGCCCGAACTTTTTTTTGTCCCGTAAAAAAGCACCAATTTTAGGTTGAGTGAAAATTCTAACTCCTATTTTTTTTTATCTTATAAAAAATCGCTAACTTTCACCATGATTCCAAATTTGGCCCCCTGTTAACTTTCTGTCTGAATTCACCATTGTTTGAGAAAAAAGGTTATGGCGGTGAGTCTGATGAATCTCGTCCATGACGTCTGTCGACGGGAGGTGGTCTACAGTTTCAGATTAAAGACAAAATGACGAAGTCTAGCTACAGAGATTCAATCTAGAGATATTTTTTACTTGCTAGTGAAGTGAAGAAGACAACAGTTTCACTGTTATTCTTCAAGCTGTGGCTCAGAGAATAAGACAATGAATAGTACTTTAAATCTAGTTAGCAAATCACGTAGATTTATTGCTAAAGTGGAATAGTCAAGTTGGATAATCAAGGGTTTTAAGTCAACGGGGGTTATATTTGGGATTAGGGTGAAAATTGGTGTTTTTTTACGAGACAAAAAAAAGTTGAGGCCAGAATTGTCACTCGACCTAAAGTTTATGCTTTTTATGGAACAAAAAAAAGTTCGGGCCAGAATTGTCCATCGATCTAAAGTTGATGCTTTTTTATGGGGCAAAAAAAAGTTCAGGCCAGAATTGTCCCTCGACCTAAAATTTGTGCTTTTTTTTTTAATTAACCCGAACCTAATTATAGAAAATAAAAAGGAAAATTCCAAAAAGGGGTCCAAAGTGAAGTTATTTTCTCAAATAAGGGCTTGAAGTGAACATTGTTTCAAATAAGGCCCTGAAGTGGCCAAATCGTCTCAAAAAAAACCTTTGGCCGGCCAGTGACTATTCCGTCACCGGAGAAGGGGTACTTTAGTCAAAAACATTATAAGTATATTTTTTTTACTTTCTTTTTCTTTTCCTTTTCTTTTCTTTTTTTTTCTTTTTTCTTTTTCTTCTTCCCTCCTAGCCTTCATTGCGCCTGGCCGGCGACTTTTGCCGGCCTCAGACGAGGCCGCCTTCGCCAGCGTCGAGCAAGGGCCACCCTCGCCGGCGTCGGGCGAGGGCAGCCCTCGCCCTTGCCCGACGCCAGCGAGGGCGAGGGTTGCCCTCGATCGCCCTTGCCCGCCCGGCTCAGGCAAGGGTGACCCTTGCCAGATTCAGCGAGGGCAACTCTCGCCCTAGCCTAGCCTCGCCGGCGTCGGGATTGCCCTCATCGACGTCAGGTGAGGGTGGCTCTCGCCGGCGTTAGGCGAGGGTCGCCTCGCTTGGGCTAGCCTCGCCCGACACCCGCAAGGGCAACCTTCACTAGCCCAGGCGAGGGCAGCTTCCGCCTGAGGCCGACGGAGGGAAGAGACAAAAAAAAATAAAGAAAAGGAAACGAAAAGGAAAAGGAAAAGAAAAAAAAAAGGAAAAAAGAAAGAAAAAAAAGTAAAAGACAAAAATACCCTTTGACCGGTGAGGTCAAGTCCTTATTTGAGACTGATATGATCACTTCAAGCCCTTATTTGAGACAATATTTACTTTAGGTCCTTATTTGTAAAAATGAGGGCACTTCATGCACTTATTTGAGACAAAGTTTACTTCATGTTTTTATTTGAGAAAATAACTCCACTTCAGGTCCCTTTTTGAAATTTTCCCAAAATAAAATCACAAATATATTTTTTTGGCTTGGGCATTTATTTGCTCATCTTCTAAGCCTCATGAAAAAAGTCCCCTGTTTATACGTTTTCAGTTCGTGTTTTGGCTTTAAAATGTCAACCGACATGGCGAAGAGCACAGAGAGCCCGTACCTAAGTGTGCAAATCCCTACTTGTAGATAACTCTATTAGTGTAGATATTGATGGATAGCGGTGATTCATGGATGACAAGTGACGAGAGGGTTTGACAAATGGCATTGGCACCAACTTAGGGACCGATGCTTGCACAATCTTTCACATAATGGTCACACCATTTTCTGCCCTGACATGATACTAAATTGGTGTCTTATCAAGTTCAGCCCTTCGGATAACTAGTTACTCTCGGGAAAAGTTACCAAAACCATCTACGGACACTAGTCAAAAGCCAATTGATTATTTATCTCGCACTTCTCGTCTACCAACACAGCACACTTCTAGCAAAAAACACACCACTAAGTATGGCGATAAAAAATTAATCCCAAGCCCTTCAACTTCCCGCACTGCTGAGAAGCAAGCACTTGGTTTTCCGTCACTGGGATGAAGAAAGTACAAGGATGAGCTTTGCCTTCAAAGTTCTCTTTTTTTTTTTTTTCCTTCACAATGGTCATGCGTACAAGTACGGTGCATGCGGTGAAAAAATAAATAAATAAATGGTGTGATAAATTAAACAAATCCATTGATTCAGTATTATTACATTTATCACGAATCAGAATAAAAGAAAAAAACATGACATTCCTTGGATGAGGAAAATTATTGATGGAAGACAACAATGTAAGTAAGAAATAAGTTGGTCAGTATGTGTGATCGATTATCCCTTGTGCTCTGCGAGGTGGTCTTGACGGTGGTGGTGGTGGTGGTCGGACGATTCAGACGAAGCTCCGACGATCTCGATGAAGCTCGAAGCCTCATCATCATTCTTGGCATGCAAACCCTTCTCGATCTTTTCACTCTTCTTAATCTCTCCATCAATGACCACATCGTCTTCAATGGAGAGCACTATGGCCTCCGTGCCATGAGGACCTTCAACAATGGCCTCCTTCACCTTCCTATGCTCCTCGAAATGGATCAGCTTGGTCTTTTGCTCCGTCTTCTTCTTCTTCTTCTTCATCCAGCAGAAGAGAGCCGCCGCCATGAACACGAAGAACAGGAGCCCCCCGCACGAGATGAACACGATGACGATGATCGTGGGGTGGTGGTCGGGCGCCGGTGGCGGCGGCAGCGGGTGGGCTGGCGGCGGGGCGATGGGGTGTGGATGCGGTGGCGGGAGCACATGAGGTGGAGGCGGAGTGAAGGGGTGTGGCGGCGGCAGCGACGGCGGAGGTGAAGGCGGTGGCGATTTAGGGTGCGGTGGAGGGGTTGCCGCCGGCGTAGGCGGGCTCGACGAAGGGTGATATGGTGGTGGTGATGGGAAATAGGGAGGGTTGTAAGTGTGAATCGTTGGGGAGGCCATTGCGTTGTGTACTTAGTGAATGAAATTGGTTCGAATTGCTATGAAAAAGGTTGTGGCTTTCAATATGTATTTATAAGTGAATAGCTTGTGTAACATTAAAATTTGATGAAGTTCTTGAGTGACTTGACTCACATGGCAAGATTGAGGTGCTTGTTTGCATTGGAAAACACTTCTCGGGGTTTGCTTCGTTTTCGTACCATAGATGCCGGGAATTGAAGTGCAAATGGGATACTTTGAGAGAAATGAGATCATGTGGGACAAGACCATTAGACTTATATTGCAAGAAATCAATCTAATGTTCCATCTTCAACAAGTTGCATCTATCCTAGGGTCAAGTTAATGGGTAGTACTCAAGTAACTCGATGAATTGATATACGTAGATCCATAGTCTCGTGGACATATACGGATCAGTGATGCCCATGATCGGAGAAATCAAAGTGCCCCCCGCTAGAGTTTTGAAAAAATATTTATGTACTTTTAAAGTACGGCATTCTCGATCTATTCAAGTCAATTACTGTTCTCGAATACTATAAGAGTTCTCGTTTTCTTAATCGTCGTTGCTTTACAAGACGACAATTTAATTCCCACGTGTTCTTTTTCTCTCTTTCTTCGCCTCACACTTTAAAATATTTTCCTTTTCTTTTTCCTTTTTTTTTTTCATTTGGCCCCCTATTTTCAGGACTAGAGCTTCACGACAGCTTCAACTATGTCTTTAATTTGAAGGCTTGGCTTGGCCCATGATGTAGCCCACATCCCATCACACCCTTCAAGCTAAGCACATGTCCTCAAGTACAACAGATATCGTAAGAGTCCCCATATTATCGTATAATTACATTAAGGGACTTAAAAAATGCACCATGAATTCATTTCGATCCTTTAACAGTTCTACCAAACTCCTCAGTTGTCCAGGCATCTTTGGAGAAACGTTAGTGCAGATTCCTACGGTTCTTTGCACAGTTCTAGTTGCGTTCTTTCTTTCCTCTCTTTCTCTGTCTGGTGGATTTTTAGGATCTTATAAGCGATCAAGAGAGCTTTGCATGGTTAGTATGACCTATCAAGACTATGATTCAGCTAAGAGAGATTTCGATTGTTTAGCGTTTCCGTTCCTTCTATCATCGATAGGGACTTATTAACATCGCCGTGGATAGATAATCAATCGGGTTTGCATTTCTTGCCGACTTTATTAGGAACCAGCATTCCTCGGATAAAGAATGTGGTTGGCTTTCATTGATATGATTTGTGGTGAAAATTTGTGGTGAAAATTTTGATTGCATGATTTTAATGGGAAATCTTCACATCTACTGATAATCCTCTCCTGCAAGTTTCATCCTTTGAAACCATATCAAGACTTCGGATCAGTGCTGTCACTCAAAAGCAATTCCTTGTAACAGCCAAGCATGAATAATAGAAAGAAAAGGTAAAAGAAACCAGAAGTCATGAGCATGCATTGCTATATTTCACCGAAAACCACAAAATCAAGTATTGATGGTTGGGAATTGGTGAATAAAATGCTCATTTATAGGTATTCTGAAGGCACAAGTGAAATGAGACATGTTGAAATATACCGAAGTTGAAAAATCATGCTCGTCGAGGATGAGGACGTAATGTCTAACTTTACAACTTGGCAAACCTCAACCATTATGAAGAAAGCTAGAAATTTCTCTTATTGTTAATTTATCCGTATTCATATTAGTTGCATTAGTAGCGCATGACAACATAGTCATGATGAAGAAAGGGATTGATTGCTCTTCGTATGTGTTGTTGAAGAATCAGTTGCAACATCAGTCCAGTTCTTTTCACCCCAGTGTAGCAGCATGGTCTCCCAGTAGCAGAAATCCTCGGTACACGTCTTCAGGCGCTCGTCCGCTATCTTAGTCTTCCAATGACCGTCCGTGTAGTTCCCTCTCTCAGCCTGCTGCCGATCCCACTCCAAAGCTGCCTTCTGCTTTGAGCTCAGCAGACAGAACTTATGCAGATGTTCCGGCATGGCGTCATGCAAATTCCACCACGTCCTGTGTGCTACATCGCTCGCGAACTCTCGGTAGTAGTCCACATTCCAGTTGCAATCGTAGTCCCTGAAGCACAGCCATGGCTTGAGTCCTAGATAGTGGAGGACATAAAGGATCGGTGGGTCGGCACCGAATAGACGTGTCTTCATCAGCTTCGTCTCCTCATTGTCACCTTCCCAGAAGTGCTTCAAGAAGTTCATGTGCTTAGGAATTCGGTGCCACCAGGTGAATATCTCGTTCAGGTACCCTTGGTCGCCGCCATTGTAGGACTCAATCTCATTGATGTGGTCCATGAGCAGCTTGAACGTGCAGTTTGATGGCTCGATCACCATCACACCGGAATTGAACAAGGAACCGTTGTTTCCTGTGGCAGACAATTCCGGCATCCCGAAAAGGAAATCAATGTTTCTAAGGATCAGTTGATCGGCGTCGATGAAAATGATCTTGTCGTAGTCTGTCAACTGCCAGAGTCGGAACTTGCTGTAGTTCCATTCATTGTAGGCATCGGGTTGGGCTCTCGGGTTTCTGATCCGCTGGATCATGTGGACTTTCCACCCAGCGGCCTCCAGCCCAGCTCTGTGATGTTCGCTAATCGTTTCGTCCACAAGAATTACAAGATCCCGCGTGGAACCTGCCGTTCGTATGCTTTGAGCTGCAGTGATAGCACCGCAAACATAAACATTAGCTGAGTGCAAAATCGTAGCGTACGCTTCTCGATGAGCTCTCTCCGAGTGAAATTGCTCTACGAACACAAAGAACAATTATTAGATATTTGCTTGATCTTGTCCAATACACAGAATGAATTTGTTACTCAGTTTGAGACATTAACCTTTCGGCTTGAGAGGTAAGGCTAGTTCGCACGACCCTACTGGGAGCAGAACCTTTTCCCGCAGCTTGTTGAGGTCGGGCTCATACAGCCACGCATAGCCTTCGTTCACTAGCAAGTCCTTGCACGTGAAGAGATTCGGGATGGGAAGGCAATCGGTCATGAGAAGCACTCGCACAGGACGGTAACTCTTAGCAGAGGCAGCGAGCCTTGCTGCTTCGAGCTGCAAGTGCAGCCGAGCCACATCCCTCGACCACCTTCTCGACTTGTCACAAGGAAGCTTGACGGCAATGAGATCGACGCGTGGTTTACCTGGGACGTGAACCTGAGGGAGGGTAGGACAAGTTGGGACCTGGGAATGTTGTTCCTCATCGATCCATTCGGGATAGAGAGTTTCCCAGGTTATGGTCCCTGGGACGGAGTCCAGGTGCAAAACTACTTGCTTGGATTCAGGGAACAGCTGCTTCCAGCGATTGGTTTCATTCTTGTTGAAGTTCAGAAGGCCAATGACCTCATACTCGTCCTTGTCAACAGATTCCTCGATCACATTTGAGATTTGATCCCATTCGATATTTAGGGATGACGTGTACCGATGGCTGGCGGTGGAACTCTCTCTTGACAATGTAGCAGTGACGTGAGGCCTGTAAATCAGGATTGTTGGAGAAGCACAAATTGAACAGGTTAAAATAGATCAGTTCCAAAATAGGCTAGTGATACAAAACCATATCTGTTTCCGAGACGATAAATTGTTAACAACAACGATATCTGGCGCTTGTGTATTCGATTATAGATCCTGCTTCAGGATAATGACCAAACAAGATATATCAAGCATCTTCAATGGATCAGGACGCTGAACAGGAACAAGCCACACTAATAAGAAATGATCACAGAAAAATGACCAGGTAAAAGACAGAATAAGCCATTCCTGCAGCTGATTTTAACCAAACGAATCAGCACAGCGTGTGGTTTTATACACAAAAGCATAGCCTGTTTAGAACAGTGAAATGGATACTAGGAAATTGACTATACCAGGAAGGAGAGCTCAAAGTATCGTCATCCGTCAAATGAAAGTTATGGGACCGGTAGAGCGTGAGGAAAGACCCGAATAAAATGATGACCAGGATCATTTTCATGGTTGAGCTCTTGCAGATGAAGTTCCTACATTGGATGGCTGAATCGTGGGCCTTTTCCAAGTCATTGGAATAAATGCTTCTCGGAAATGATCTTCTATCTAATTCTTCTCTGCAACACCCAAAAGGCGCCTAGTTTTAGTGTAGATTTTCAAAGAGCATATGTGCTATGTGCAGATGAAACGATAGCAGATAGAGGAAAACCAAAAAACAGTGACCAACACAACACATGCGGCGACACCGCGGTCTTATTTCAACGATTCACAGTAGACATCCCAATTCATGAAGTCATCATAGTCAATAGTGTATCAGGATTAATTGGATTCTCTTCACATTCTAACTGGATTTTCATGCACTTCCAAATTGAAGGATCAATCCAAGTTTCTTCTTTAGTGTGTTTTTCTTGGGTCATAATGGCAAAAATTGAGAAAGAGAGATCAAACAAATTCTTCAAGCACACATAATTCACATGAGGCTGGTTATGCTTTCAACTGCAAGTGCTAAGCAGAGAGAGAGAGAGAGAGAGAGAGAGAGAGAGACTGACGCTGATGGAGGAGATAAGCGCTTCATTTCAGTTTTTTCAGTTGGAGGTAAGGTGAGCCAGATAGTAGCAACAGAGAGAGAGACAGAGAGACAGAGAGACAGAGAGAGAGCTCCAAGAAAACAGAGTTGAAATGAAAAGGAAACTAATTTCTGTAAAATGACATAGTCTTGTGTCTATGTTTGTAGTTGAGGTGGAGGAATTTGACTGGTTCTTCTCGTAGGTTGCTAAGTGCAGAAGAGTCTTGAGGCAGTTGGGAATTAGAATTAGAGATGGTGCAGTTATATTGGAAGAGGATTTGGTCATTGTAAGGTAGATGTCAGTGTCATCGCAAGGTGATTTCAAAGTTAAGTTTAACACGGGAATATCCCTTCATTATTTTATTACTTAGAAGCAAATCTAGCTTGGTCTCCTGTCCATAAGACTATAGTGAAGAAAAAACGTGGGCCTACACTGTCCAGAGAATTTGTCTAAGCGCAATCATTTTTTGTATCTTATTGTTTTACTTCCTGGTGCAACATTGCCTTCAAGAACAGGTCATGTCTGTATTGTCAAATCGGTTCTTTGTTAGAATTATTATGAATATTAACGGAATCAAAGTGAAGTCATCATTCATTCCCTCCAATAGTTCGATTGACCTTTTCATGATGTCATGCAAATATTGGTCTCATTGTAGGAAGGTCAAACCAAAACACAACTGCTGGAGAAAACTAATGTTATTGTTCATTCTTCCTTCTCTCTTTTCATTGTCAACTTTACCATATAGTATTCATTCTTTTGCTTGATACATGCTTACACGTTTGTCCTAGTTAATTGATTTGAGTACATATCTAGTTACTTCATTAAACCAACATCATAAAAGCATTCCCAAACACCCTTTGAGCCAAAGTCAAACATGGTGAAAGTTGTGCCTAAGTAAATTGAGTGCATTTCTTTCCACTAGCTCTCTTTTTTATCATTCCAAATGGAGTTTTAAAGCAACTTTTCTCTCTACAGAATCGATTATGTGATTAGTGAAAGTTCATTGTCCTAATCAAGGCTAGATGATTGCAAGGTAAGTGTCCTTGCTTTCATGCTAATTGCCTATGGCTTTCTAAATAAGGAAGCCACAGTCCTAACCGAGCTCTAGTTCTCTAGAAATTATGGTTGGTATTATTTCTTGAGATTCTTATGATTAATATGGTGAGACTTTATGTCATTATTATGACATGATCTTGTGGGATTTCTTTAGGTAGTGAAAATAATCAATGACAACTTCAAGAAAATGGGAACTACCTATGTAACTAATGGATAGTCTATCACATTCTAATGCATAGTCAGCCTAGAATTAGCGCATTCAATTTGAATAAATTAATATCTCCAATTCAATCCCGAAGGTAGTGACTGTATATATTAGAGAAAGGCAAGAATTGAGATAAGAGATATGTGAAATTGAATGAAAATGAGACAAATACAAGCGCTCTTAATTCAAAAAAACATTTAGGAAGAATGACTTTTACATTTTAGCATTATATTTAAATCTTATAGCACGCGCACGTTGATTTTCATTCGATATAGAATACATGAAAAATCTTTACAAACGTACAAATGTTGACATATAAAGTCTTATGTGATTTTTTTAAAGCTGTTTAAAATTCGAATAATGCAATATTTCATTAGGAGTTCCAAATAGCTAGGAATAATTCAAGATTTCATCCACCAACACGTATTGTTTGGACAGTTTGACTCGATCGATCAACTTTTTTTTTTGTTCTTCCTTGAATTTGTTTCTACCAACTATGGGAAATCGCTGAGGCGACGTCCTTGACTTGGCGATCTATTATAATACATGGTGCTGATGGGGTGCCTTATCGACCCACATGAGTAGGAGAAGGAGGGTATTGTTTGGATTATTCTAGGGGAAAAAATATTAAACTGTTGTATGATAGGAAAGATTTGATTCATGTTTGGAAGTTTATGATAAAATTATGAGCTAGCACGGTCGTTCACGAGAATTCATTCAATCTTCTTAAATTTATATGAGTATTTTCTTTAGGAAAAAAGAATTCTTTCTTCATGTGAATTCAAACGACACAATCCATTTATATCGGAAAAATCTTGACGAATAAAAAGAGATTTTTGGTTTTTCCAATCATTAGGCATGAAGTTTTGTGCCCGTATCCTATATATACAAATATATGCGCGCATGCTAGTGCACGCTGATTGCAAATATATTGTATATATTTCTATATAAATATACATACATAAATTTGTATGTATGTGTGTGTGTGTATACATATATGCTGTTGTATATTGTTTGGATAGTTAGATTTAAAAGGGGAAAAGGTGTCCGGCTAGCAGTGGTTGGTGAAAAGGACCCTCCAAGATGTTTGCGTTTACTCATTTAGAACAAATCCTTTTATTACGGCCTAAGCTACCAACGACATAACATAGAGGTTTCTTCTTCTTCTTCTTCTTCTTTTATCTTACTCTCTATTTTACCATTTTTGGCTAAGATAAAGTCACTATCTTCGAGTAAATGAAGATTCGAATGCGAGTGAAGAACAATGCTTTGATGGTACGCTACGCTCTTCCAAAGAATCAAAGATGGTTTCCTTTCACCCTTCTCAAAGCATTCTCAAATTCGGGGTGACGGTGTTAAAATTCTAGACTGATAATTGCGGCATTTCTAATTGTCTTGAATTCATAGATAGTAGATAGCCCTGCGATATCGTCGAAAACCCAAGCGGATCGATCGTAAATCGTCAAAGGTTTGAAATGCTACCAAGAAAACTGGACAAAATGGAGTACTACTGTCTAGCATTTGTAAGCGCAGATAGTTCCTGCTAACGTGTTTTGTGGTGTTCATAACGGGGTATAATGACATCATCGATCCTTGAACTCTTGCTCAACGTTCAATGTGCTTTTAGAACTTCGATTTTCTTCCTGTGTGGTTGTGTACTTCAAGCTCATTATTGAACCCGGGCCTCTTTGGCTCGAGAGTTCTCTTCTGCTCCACCATAGCAACTTATCCGCAATGTCCTTTAGCCACGCCTCACTCATATTCTCCAACAAAGTGAAAATGTCTGAGATGTGGCTGTAGAAGAGGGGAGAGGAGAGAGTTATGGTGTACTGGAAGATATCTGAAATGCATTTTCTAGATATTCTCACGCAAGGAGGAGGAGGTAGCTCACACCAGGGTGAGGGAGCAACTCTCTAAGGACGTTAACCATTTGACGGTAAGAATAACTGGTGCACTGGAAAAGCAGGACTCAGGAAAGATCAAATCAACTACTGTTAAGAACAGCATGGCTTTGGACACCATCAAAATCATCATGTCTGATGAGAGGAACGAAATCTTCCCTCGTAGAAAACTAGTTTGAACGAACCGTGTGAAAAAGATTCAGAGAAATTGCTCAATTCTGATGCATGAGCGTTATTCAGTTTTATGTATTTTTCCGTCTTTTATCATGTTTTAGGTTAATAAATGGCGATGGGCAAGTCGTGTGGCTTCTAATGAACTCCGACAGATTAGAAGTTGTTATTTTAGATCGACGGTGAAGATCATCTTTCGTCTGTAACTCTAGTATAAGTAGGTCTTTAAGCCTCTCTGTCATTAGCTTTATGTGAATATCTTTTCTCTGTTCCAACTTCAGTTCAACTCGATTCTAGCCTTTCTTTTGTTCTTTTTGCCACCCTTTACTTCTCCAGCCAAGTCAATTTGGTATTAAAGCCCCTTCTTAGGGTTCTTCCCTACATTATTTAGGTATGAGAGTAACAAAGGTCTCAACTTTTGGTTAGAGTTTTCGTTTCGACACTATAGTTTGACGTGGAAGATGTCGTGGAACAGGCAATCAAGCCCACAAACAGAGATGGCCGAGATGAGACATGCAATTGAAGACTTGTTTCGGGCTGTTCGAGCTTTGCAGCGACAGGAACCACTGGAAGCCAGTATGAAGAATCAGGAAAGCGACTGTTTCATGACAATCCCTTTGATGATGCCGGACCTGTGAATAATGCGGCAGGAGGGGAATTGGAAGAGTGATTGTGTTACGCCTTGAATCTTAATGAAGAGACCTAAACTTTTTGTAATGACTTTGAAGATGAAACAACAAGAGTTAAGTGCGATTATTACGAAGTCATGCTGTTTAGGATGACTATAATGATCAAGAAGAATTTGAGATATTTTCGCTTGGAGAGGGGTGATGATTTGCAATTCAATGAAGATACTAGTGAAAATAAAAAGGATACTTTAAGCTCCGTTCATTTGACGGAAAATATTCTCCTTTTGGAAAATATTTTCCCGGAAGTCGTTTTCCTGGAAAATGTTTTCCCGGAACATAATTTTCCGGTGTTCGGCAACCAATATGAAAAAGTTTTAGAAAATATTTTTCGCCGGCGGCGCGGCGGCGCCGGCGGCGGCGGCGGCGGCGGCGGCGGCCGCGGCGGCGGCCGGCGGCCGGCGGGGCGGGCGACCGGGCGGCGGGCGGCGGCGACGCGGCGGCGGCGGCCGGCGCGCCGGCGGTGGCGACCGCGGCGGCGCGGCCGGCGCGGCGGCGGCGGCCGGCTGCCGCGACCTTAGTGAAGAAGAAGCTCCGGAAAATGATTTCCGCTTTTGAAGAAGCGGAAATCATTTTCCATAGACTTAGACTATTTTGTGAAGGGGGGAAGGAAAATATTTTCCCACGAAAAACCTTTTCCGCCCCCCGAACACCGGAAAACCCGGAAAATATTTTCCGGGAAAATATTTTCCACCAAACGAACGGAGCTAAGAGTTTCTTGATGAGACATCAACAAGCATCAATTGACTTCAAGATATGGTTGGAAAACTAAAGATGAGGGACCGAATTTGCTTAATATAATTGTCCAAGTACGTCAAATTCCATTACGTATACATCAATAAATAACTTTTTTCACGACTTACAGCATCAAAGAAACTCATGCTATCATTATCATAACTCCTTTGTCATCTCTCTTTTCTATAGACATGCAGGCCTTATTAAGAATATGGAAAGGTAAAAAATTTGCGTGCTCGGCTATATCAGCATCGCTTCCCGCTTACATGAAAGTAACAATTAGCACTACGACATCCAGGGAAGCCAACCTGGATAGGGTGCCGCTCCGCAATATCTGAACAGATCTTGCATCTCAGGGCAACCTTTAGGATAAGGAATTGTTCGGTGGAAAGGATCACGGCCTAGCTTCTTACGATGTAATGAACCTTGGCACCCATAAGGATCTTCCCGAAATTGCTGCTTCACCAGTGCCTCGCCCGTCCGGGCTTTCTCTCTTGCAGATGATGAAGCTGGGGTTCCTACGTAAAAGAATCTCGACTCGGGGAATCCGATAGCAGCGCGATGCAGATGGGCAAATCTTTCTTCCTTGAAATCATAACTCACAACCTAGATACCAGAAAGTAATCATTTTTAACTCTGTACAAACATAATTGAAACTATTATAGACTACACTGGTTAGATGCTCTGACTAACAGTGAAAGTAAGAAATTTTCAGATATGGCTCGTATTGTCTCTACTATACTGACCAAGTGGATAGAAGATATCCTTTGGTAATTATGACTTTCCCCAAGCGTTCATTGTCATAAATATGAACCGCTCTTAACCTCAAGAAGAAGTGAAACGCCCTCAACACCAGTAATCATTCCCAATTCTTATATTTGTTGCAAAACCTAAGAACACGAACTGCAAATGGACACAAATATGTGGAAAGGGCATGAACAATGTACCATTCTTCAAATGTTGATTCTGCAATGAACACTTATGCTCAAGTAAGCCCACGAAAGAAGAGTGTTTTTCATTAATTAGATTACTGTTTCCCTATTTCCTTTATTTCATTGTCAAGAACACAATGACCATACTGCCTCCAATACCCTTTTTTCGCCCTTGACATAGCACAATTCTCCCAACCAAAATAAGTAGCTTTTGTGGAACAAAGAACTTACAGTTACATTGGAAGGATATCTTCCAGTGAGCTCTCTGAACCTACATACACTAAACAGAAGATTCTCAAAGCTGTCCCTTGCATGCTCCTCAGTGAGGGCCCTCGATCTCACATTTTCTTCCTTCCCTACAACCATAATAATCAAAACAGAAGAATGAACAGTTATTAAGCATATGCATGACATATTTGCATACTTGATTAAATTAGGATGCCATAGTAGGGAAAGATGATTAGACATTATGATGTTTGCATTGGAGAAACATGAAACAAGTAATGAACAATGCTTGAGGCATTACTAACGAGGTAGCAGATACATATAGACAAATGGCAAATGCAAAACCAGAAAAACCTTTTACAAATAAGAACGATAACCAGCTCCTACCCTTTAAGCTTTGCTGATAGCGTTTTTCCCTGCATTTCTTCCCCAAGAAACAGAATATTTTTCCTGTTTATCCTTCCATTTGAGAGGAATAACAAGATGAAATTATGGCAGGAAATCCAAGAATAGTGTTTACTAAGAGGGTGATTCACAGTGGCCACCAATAGGAGGCAACTGAAGAAGTCAAGAAAGAGAAGCCAATCATGTAGCCCTAGCAGCAGCAAGAACTGGAAGGTTGTTGAGAGCCATGATATGTCAAAGGAGGTGAAAATGAAACGATGATTGGATATATTCAATGAGAATAAGAAAAGCAACACAAGAATGTCGTTGAAAAAGGAACAGCCAGATTGTTCTACATTCGGATGACAGGATATAGTTGACATGGAAATTATTATAGCTAGTTTGTTGAAATTGGCGGGCTTGTAATGAAAAGACCAGAGGTTCTGGATGGGACAATAGAATGATACTTATAGTGACAATTAGATGGAAAGAAATGAACTTTAAAGTATAAAAAGTTGAAGCAATTTAAGCAAAGTATGCCGAGTAAGCAATTCTTATAGCTTTAGCTCTGCTACTTTACGAAACACATGAAAACTAACCAACAGTCAACTGGTAATGGTAGATGCATCAACCACTGAACTTGAAGACCGGCAGTATCATCTCTTTCAATCATATGACAGTATGTGATGATGCTTGTAGTGATAATCAGGCAGCAAGAGATGATTTTTCACATTAAGAGGACCAAAGAACTAAAAAAAGCTTTAAATTGAAGCAACACTTAGTAGCATTAGCTTGGCTACTTTCAAAATCACCGGAAAACTAACCAACAGCCTCAACTAGCATATGCAAACTACAATCAGATCTGTTGTCTGGCATTATCACCTCACTTCCATGATAAATTAGAAATTACTAGAGAATGACCCAGAGCCCCATAGATAAAGCTTCTCATAATCCACTACAAAAGTGTGGTTGAAGTAGATTAAAATGGTACAACTTTAATTCAAGACAGCCAAAGGCAGACAGACCAGCAATGAGCACTCACCAAACCATCCTCTAGATTCAGCAACAGCCCAGTAACTCTGCGCCTCGCTTCGAGGACCAGCATCTTTACGTGTCTCTCCACCGCTGAATAATAGCAAAGCCATTTCATCTTTCGCCGTTATTTCAATTCCTTGTTCAATATGAGCTAAAAAAGTAGCAGCTTGACCGGGATTCTTTTGATAAGGCTCCAAAAACCAAGAATCCTCCTTATCAACTTTCTCGCAACTCTTACTAGTATATATAGAATGTCCAGCAACCATCACGAGGTTCTTGAGATTGGCTAAAGGATAATTTCCCAAAGACGCATCGAATTCTCGATAATTACCGATGGCACTATACCGCGACTGATATATAGATAAAATTAACAGAATTGTGATCCCAAATGACAAGGAAATCAAGAAAGCTAAACAAGGATGCAACTTGTAGAAATAGCGAACACGGTTACCGAAGGATTTGAGCATTTTGACCGGGTGAAGTGGAGAGCTTTTGGGTTTTCGAGTTCTTCTGATGGTTCCCGATTCTAAGTCAAAATCACCACCTGGGTATGCAAGAAACGACTTGGGAATACTCGAAGCATACGAAGGAATACTCATGATACTGCGAAGTTCAAGCTCGAGGATTGGTCAAAGGAACCCAAATGGCGCATCATACGAACACGAAACTACCGGGAATTACTGCTCAACTTAGATGGCGATGAGAGATCGCGAACTAGCAATCACGATGAATCACATGATCTTCGCTGTCAGACGAAAAACGAACGACCGAAAGCAACGATTTTGCAAGTGGGAAAAACAAGAAATCAAACACCCACGACGGAATTCAAAGCCGAGAGCGCAGAGGATGCATGAATTCGAGGTCAGAGCAAGGAGAGATCAAAGCCCGACAGAGGAGACGCCTCACCGAATGTTCACGAGTCGACGACGAACTCTTGGGATCTTTCCCTCAGGAATGAACAGAGGAGAAGGTCCACATTTCGCAGAGCTCTAAGAAGTCAAAAAGCAGAGCGCATTTCTTCAAGTCGAATCACCTGCGTTCGAGCTGGAAGCGGAGGCCCGACCCGAATAGAACAGGTCGGATCCGAAAGCCCATGGATCACGCGAAATTGACTTGAACCCTAAACCGGGCCTTCTCCAAGGATGGGCTTTTCGGTCTCACTTCATCTCCTCCAGTGAATGACCACTTACAATCTTAGCTCGATTCGATTCACCTCTCTTCTTCACCGTGTTTGTATGCAGACAACAATGGCTGAGTAAAGGGCTGAACTTGTTCTTCAACTGGATGAATCGGGTTGTGATCAGGTAACTTCCAATCCTAAGCAAGCTTGGCGATTCTATGAGTAATTTGGTGGCCAACTGTTTGGGTTCAAGTGTAATTTGTTCTGGAATGTTTTGGGTTCGTGCCTTGAGGTTCTTTTGGGAGTTGCTTGGGGGAATGAGTAGGACGAGTTCCGTTTATTGTTGCATAGTTGAACGCACGTGTTGACAGTTTCTTGGGTTCTTTTTTTTTTTTTTTTGCCCTTTTGGGTTCTTTTTGTTTTCATTGTGAATGTAGCAAAGCTTGGGACTTGAAGATTTTTATTGGGTCCATGATGAGTCAGTGCAAGTTGAACGCATTTGGAGGCTGAAGCTCACTTAGGATTTGATACTGCGAATCAGAATGAAGATCGCCTCGTCGATGTTTCGCTGCGCTTATGTTGTAGCTTCCCATAGTGCTCTGCCTCCAGTAGGGGCAGTAGGGAAATTCCTGCCTTTTTCAAAGTCGATATCTGTGAATGGATCGGTACCGGTTCGGGGAAGATGCTGTTGCTTCGGGTCTTCCAGTCCATATGTGGTTCTGAAGGACAGGAGTTATGGCAACAAGCAGGTTATCAGCATCACTCCCCAACTTTACGAATATATTCTCTCCAATGTTAGAGAACCAGAGGTTAAGCTTTGCGTGCTTTTTTTAACTTTTGTATCTCTTGCTTGCACTATGCAATGCATATACTCCAGTGATCTTTTAGTGGTTTATGACTTTTTCCTTGTTGCAGATATTACGGCAACTTCGTGAGGAGACAGCCTCGATGCGTGGTAGTCAGATGCAGGTTTTTCATGGCTCTATTGCATTTTCTGGTGCTTTTGCTTTCCTCTATTAAAAGAAGATAAAGAATAAAGAGTTGGCCGACAATTTCAATTACCAGTAGTTGATATTGCGTCTTGTGCTGTTTGGTCTTCCTGATAAGAAAATAAAAATAACTCTTGTTACTAACCATGGATTACTCAAGCATCAAATGTTGCAATAACCCCGCATAGTTCTCCAGTTTTATTCTCAATAGTTGACAACTCAGTGGTGCATATTCATCACCATGTAGTAGTCTTTATTGGATATCCTTTATGAAGATTTCTCATCTCATTTTGTCTGTCATAATCATTTGAAAATGCTAAACTGTTGGCAATCTATGGTTTGGATTGCACTACCTGTTACATAGCTACTTTGATTTGTGGTGGTAGCTGTACCTTTCTTAAATGTTCCCTTCTGACCAGATTGAAAACATTTTACCTCCTAAAATTTGGCATTCCAAATTACCTCTTCCACTGCCACAGCTATAATCCAACTCATCCCCTTATAAAGCTCCAGGTTTTGCACCAAAAAGATGCTATCACTACACATGGTAGAGTTCCGTTAAATATAGATCCTCGAGATTACTTCATTTCTCTCCATTCAAGATCCTGTCTTCCCTTGGAAATGTGAATCATCTATTAGCACTTAGACTTCTCTTAATCCATCACCTCCTGTTTCTTGAAAATGTTAAGATGCAAAGTTGATTCATCAAAAAGCATATAACAATGCACTAGCAGAATAAGCTCGCATTCTACACTGAAGAAACTGGTCGTATCCATATTTCCTTAGTACCATATCTAAGCTGATGACTTGTCTTCTTTCGTTAGGTCTCGCCAGATCAGGCACAACTCCTTGCAATGCTTGTGCAGATTCTCGGGGCAGAACAATGTATCGAAGTTGGAGTTTATACTGTATGCATTCTCTTTATGAAAAATTGTTTTATAAGATGACTAGCTAAATGATATGCGACAAAAGTTCCCATTTGAAGAGGAAGAACAATAAACTGCGCCAGTCTTTAAACAATCTTTTGACAATTCAGTTTGTTCAATCTCTTTCAGACGTCCCTTCAAATTAATTGGAGAACAGGATAAAATCAATCTATCTTAAATCATCACTGATTTTTTTTTCTTTTTGGTGGGGGCAGGTGGGGAAGAGGGAGAAGTGGGAGGCAGATATGCACTCACAGATTATTGTTACTAAGAATTTTGTTCAAATAAGATCCATCTATATATTTGTTTTTGAGAAAAAAACGATGTGTAGCTAAATCTCTGTATCCTACATGTGGAAATGATAATATCTAGTGGTAGTTTAGATATTTTTGGCATTACCTCTAAACTACTTAATAATACTTAAATTAATTTTTTCCCAAGATATCATAAGTTTTATGCATCAATGCCATTCACTAGGTAATTCACTGAATCTTTTGTTTCATAGATTTAAGATTTTGACTCAGGATTTGTGTCTCAATTGTAAGACTTTGATTCAAAGTGATTAATTACATTTTCACTTTTTTGTCACTCAAGGGATACTCTTCCTTGGCTGTTGCACTTGTCCTGCCTGAGTCGGGTTGTTTGGTGGCTTGTGAAAGGGATGCCAAGTCCCTTGAGGTTGCTAAAAAGTATTATGAGCTTGCTGGGGTTTCACACAAGGTAATCTATATCCTTTACCTTTCTTTAGCTAGTATCAGTCCATGAACTCCTTGTGGTTGTGAAGTGTATTGTCAGTTAATTGTATAACTGTTCAAAAATCTGTACTTTTCTTTTTTTCTCAAAGAGTTAAAAAAAATTATTCGGTGACAGTAGCTTAGTATGTGCATTTTCTAGCAAGCATAATGATAGTGGGCATGATATCTATCAAATGTGCATCCCTAGATCTAAAGAAGACCTTCATTTCGAGGATTTTCCTGCTTTTTATTTCATACTTTATGTGGTTCAAGACTCATACTTCGTGTTTAGGTAAGTGTGAGACATGGGCTAGCATTGGACACTCTGCGCTCTCTTATTTTGAATGGTGAAACTTGCAGGTACCTAATTTAAGCAGTATTACTCCTTGCCTTCTTTAGTGATAGTTTTCCTGTGTCTTCTTTTGCTCTTCTTCTCATTCGATTCTCTGTGTAATCTTTGAGTGGACTGGGTGCACTTGTGAACACCTTCATAAGGCTTTCTCAGTGGTGAAAGTCCTATGGCCTTGCAATTGGCCCTTGTTGCACAAAAAGGCAATTTTTTGTCAAAAGAATGGCCTTGAAAATGGACTTTGAAACCACAGGAGAACCTTCTTTATCTTTTATGGTTCCGCAGAAAGCCATTCTGACATTATTGAATGACTTTTTCTCTTCTTTTCAAATCCACACTTAATTCCACTTCTTCTGTTTATGCGGTCTCCATCTCCACTTCGCAAATCAACCTCTATTCTCTCCTAATATCTCTGTACTCTCTCTAGCTTATCTGTCTCTCTACTTTCTTTCTGCTTTGCCCTGTCCGCTTGTGGATGTTCAGCCATCTTGAGATCCAGTGCTGACCGATTTGATAGCTGTGCCTCTCTCTCTCTCTCTCTCTCTCTCTCTCTCTCTCTCTCTCTCTCTCTCTCTCTCTCTCTCTCTCTCTCTCTCTCTCTTGTAAGTGCACTGTTTTTTCTAATTTTCACAGCTGGTTGCTGAGCGATGCAGAAATGCTTTGGTGTTTTAAACTATTGGTTCCATCTTTCTGATTCCTAAAAAGGTTACCAAACAATATCAGCCTTTTTAGGTCATTTGTTTGAATATAAAAGCAAATTTATCTAGTTTGATGATTGATAAGTTATCCTTTTAAGATAGTTTAAAGAATAATGTCCAGTATGATATTGAAAAATATTAAAGGACTTTCCGGATACAATTTTACCGAAAATTATTTATGTGTAAGTTGCTTTAGACTAGATGTTTCAGGTGTACTATGTACCAATACGCATCTTCTTATACAAATTTACTGAACAGTAGGTTTTTCAAACATTGGATGTGAAAGTTACTTTACACTGGATGTTCATGTATTTTGTTTACCAAACATTCATCTGCTTCAATGATGGCATATTAAGTCAGGAGCTTCTCTCCAAATGAACTTTGCTAAGTCAAAACAATTCCAAACTCCAAGCTCTTCCAATTTTTAGCAGCTGGTCAATCCCGTCCCGAGGAAGTAATGCTGCGCATTCTGATTTTTCTGCAAAATTGATTTATTTATCCTAAGCTAGCTTGTGTTGTGTTGCATTTGTTGCCAATACTTGTTTATTGGAGGGTTAGAAAAGATGACTCATCTGCGTATTCCTTCTTGCAGCTATGATTTCGCATTTGTTGATGCGGAGAAGAGAATGAATGAGGAATATTTTGAATTGCTGCTGCAGCTTGTAAGTCAGAGAATTACTGTTTGACGGCTGCTTTTAAACACATTGGCGCATGCAGCTTTCTTCTGCTTCTTGCAGCTTTGTCTAATTTACATGTTCTTTACCTTAATAATTGCAAGTTCGAATCCCAAACTGCAGATGATATTTGAAATCTTCAAGCACTAGTCTAACTGAAAGCATTGGCACTTGGACGAATCTTATAAGAGCACGACACCCATTGCTTTGAGATGTCTTCTGCCCAACTTTGCAACTTTGCAATGTCTGCTTAATTGATGAGTTGTTAATTCTTGTCATAGGTGAGGGTCGGTGGCGTGATTGTGATGGATAATGTCCTTTGGCACGGAAAAGTAGCTGACCCTATGGTGAACCTTCTTGTTCTCCTCTCTCTCTCTCTCTCTCAGTAGAATCAAGTGGTGAAGTAGTATAGTAAGTTTGTTTTTTTTTCTTAGAGAAGAAATAATTCTACGAGTAATATTTGGCAGGTAAATGACGTGAAGACTATCGGCATTAGGAATTTTAATAGGAGATTAATGGAGGATGACCGAATTAGCACCAGCATGGTATGTTTGCCCATTATTTTCATGAAGCACACCTACTACCCCAGTCTGCAGCTTTGAATAAATGTCCTCATTGTTGTCATTTTAGGTGCCAATTGGTGATGGCATTTTAATTTGCCGCAAAAGATGAGCACAGATTGGAATTTCAGGTATCTTTCCATGCATAATTTATTAGACATAATCAAGAATGGTTACTCAGAATCTTATTCCCTTTAAGATAAACTGAAAAGAAACTTTGTTCGTGGGAGGGTTTACATCGTTTGGTTAGTCTCTCTAGTTGGTAAGTTCTAAAATTATCAAAAAGAAAAAAATATATATATATACACCAGCGAGTATCAACAAGATCTAATATAGTACAATGACTATGGTGTAGGGTTTTAAGTTCAACTTATGATGGTTTTCTCAGTTGATTATGGTTTCTTGAATGGATGGGGAACCCCTAGAACCTTATGTCGTTGGAGTAAAGATGACCCCTCATCCTTGAAGTCTTTTCATTTTTCAATTCATCAAAACTGGGTGAAGGAACAAGTTCTTGAATGGATGATCATGTGGTAGATATATGTGTTTGACGAAATCAGATGACATGTAATTTCACTACTGGTAGGAGTTTCACGGTGTTATTGTCATGGTGATGATGCATCTTCTTACATGTTTGGCAGTCTTCACCTTGTGACTCATTCGAACTGCAGCATACAGAGAGATGCTAACCCGGGGTGACAGCATTGGTAAGATGACTCAGCTAATCGCTCATAAATTGCCCTCTACCATGTCCTAGGTGCCTCCAAAGAACGAGTGAGAAAAATATGTAGATGAAGCTATTGGTGAGTGAATGGAAGATCCCGGTCGACACAGTGTAGGTCATAAAAAAGTTATTGGAAAGTTTTGAAATTCTAACATCGACTGGTAAAGGGTTTCGCTATTTCAGTGTTGAAGATGCAGCAACATTCAACCTATGAATTCATCTTGTTTGATTAGTTTATACTCAGCAAAGCATGTCGGTCTTATTTTCAAGTTGATCAATTTTACAATATTACTATGTCTCCTTTTCTTTTAAAATGTATAGAAAGGAATTAAAGAATATCATTTAAAAAATCGAATGATGTATTATAAATAGCACATGTGCATCCGTTGTATATGTTATTGACATGAGGAATTCTAAACAAGATCACAAAAAAAAAATTTTGATCCTTATTTGGCAGCAGTACACTTATTCCAGCTCCTTCAAATCGAAGATAGTGCAGTCTAAGTAGTCATATCACGCTAGATCTACAATGCTCAGGTTTTATGGGAATCTAATGAGGGTTAAAAATGGCCTAGGAAAGCAGAATAGTAACAGTAAAATTGGCAACAGCTATTCAACTGAAATGGAATCTTCAAATGTTTGATGTACATGGTTGATTTCAAATCATCAAACTACGATTACTTTAGAACTAAGGCTCAATATATAATTATGTCACATCGGCAAAAGTAAAATTGGCTCGTCATTGTGTGGGAATGTTGCAATCAAGCTCCTACCTGATGAAAAGCAAAACATATATTAAGCAAAGCAATTATATGTAGTGAAGAAAAGGGAAAATGACACAAATGGTCCCCGAACTTTAGCCCAATGTGCAACGTAATTTGTGAACTTTTAATTTGTTCAATGTGGTCCCTGAACTTTAGCCCAACTTGCAATGTGGTCGTTGAACTTTTGGTACATATTCAATTTAGTCCCTGGATTATATAAAAATATTCAATGTTGTCCCTGATCTTAATTTAATGGAATGACTACATTGAACATTTTCATATATTTCAGAGACTACATTGAACATGAACGAAAAGTCTAAGGATCACATTAAACAAATTAAAAATTCAAGGATCACATTGCACATTGGACCAGAGTTCATGGACCATTTGTGTCATTATCCCGTGAAAAAAATGATATCAGCAACCACATTTAAAATGTTTGGAAGGATTAACTTATAAAGAAATAGATGGAGCTCACTACATTTTACAGCTACTATGCTTATTGTAGATATTGTAACTCAGAGTATACAACATAAATGCGTCATCCTTTTAATAGTGGAGTTTAGAAAGTTAGCTGTCAGACAATTTTGCCGCCATACAAGGCGAGTGTCCGTCTAATCCCCACTATATACCTTGTAAATGGAGATGTTGCAAAAGTGACGGTGCCTGATATGCTGTGTGATCTGTATAGCCCAACGGCAGAAATAGCAAAGGCCCAAAGAAGTTGGAAACAAATCCTAGGTGGCATCTGATTTCCAATTATTTCTTCTAACATTTAAGAATTTGGATTCTTCATGATGATAGCATCAGCATATCTGTTATTTCTGCATTGGCTCAGCATATCCATTGTTCAGTGGTTCAGGGCAATCCTAGTTTGCTTGCTACCTTTGTCTATGCTTCCAATTTGTGATGGATAGGTGATCTCTTTGGAAGTTCTTGGCTTCTTCTGCCATTAATACAACTTCTCCTTGGATAATCCTGGAAGATATTAACTTTGTACGTACCTCTCTGAAGTTAGTAAGATATAGCCTTTACTCCAGATATGGAGATGTTTGATGATACTCTTGTCCAAGCTGATCTTACTGATTTGAAGCACATTGGCAGCTCCTTCACATGGACAAAATTGTAGCATTGAGAAATGGGTAGCCAGGAAATTGGATCGTGTGTTTGTTAGTGCTTGGCTTGCTTCATTTATGCACTCCTGCGCTCATCATTTCCAATATTTCTGATCATTGTCATGCACTTGTAAGACAAGAGGAAGCTGTTCTCCACTTTCCAAAAGCCATTCAAATTCTTGAAGTTTTGGAGTAAACATTCTCTTTATCTGGAAGTGGTTGCTCAAGCTTGGCATGGGGAGGATGAGGGAACTGCAATGTTTACTCTTTATAGCAAAGCTTGCTAGAGCTCACATTGCTCTTAAGAAATTCAATAAAGATCATTTTAACCAGCATTTGCAGCAGATTCAACATTGTAAATTGGAGCCATCTACTTTGCGGCAGGAAATCCTATCAGGCGATTCCTTCTAAGTTGGATGATGATTTTATGCCGAAAGCAATGCTTTGGAAATTGCAAGAGTATGAGGAATCTTTTCTTTATCAGAAATCCAGGCTGAACTGGATGCAACTTGGGGATAGGAATACTGATTCGCAAATCTTTTAAGCAGATTTACTCTCAGCAAATTTTCAGAGTGCTGTTTTCTGAGGAAGGTGACAACTGAGGGACATGAAAACAATGCAGCGGAAGCAATGTTAAGAATTTGAGGAACCATAAACCTAAGAAGGCTTAACAAGAATATCGACAAATAATATTTGAGAACTAGATGAAGATGACACTAGAAAGGCTTAACAAGAATGTCATTCAGAGGAGGACAAAGTCGCCAATTATAGGTTCGTCCTATGATTTTATTAAGGTAATCAAATAATATCTACCCAAAAGAGTAGGAAAGCTCTCTTCGGATATGAATAATACATACCCATGATTTTATCGAGTGTGGACTATAAAAGTCATTGTGAGTTTTGAGAGATCGATTATAGTACATCGACTCCTGTAGTTATAAAGGTCCATCGTTTTGTTTGGTAGCCATTGTATGACTTGAACAACGACGGCTACGAACGTGAGAAATGCTCTCTTTTGGATTCTAGTGGTCTCTCCTAGAGAATGAAATCCTAATCTGTTCAGTGAACTGACGAAGTTTGTCATGCAAATCATGACAAAAAGTAAGATGGTTGGTGCTTTGGGAGTTTGGCAATTTCTAGAATTATCAGCCAATGGAATACACTTTGGGAAAATGAGGACTCCTCCACTCCAACCTATAAATATGTCTCATTCTCATTTCTTCTACCCCAAGCTCACAAACCTCCTGAACTCCATTCTCTTTTATCATACTGTTTAATTGACCTAGCTAGCAACCTAAAAAATTATCATTGGTGTGTTCACTTTCACAAATGAATACATTTCGACAATTCCTCCTGCAAGATTGTTCAAGGCCCTAATTCTGGACTCACATAACCTGATTCCCAAACTCATGCCTCAAGCTATCAAGAATATTGACATCATCCAAGGTGATGGACGGGCTGGAACCATTAAGCAAATCAACTTCATTGAAGGCGATTATGCGTTTCTGCCATATAATTGTGCTTTATTTCTAGCTTAAACATATGTTATGGCATATAATAGTATGCTATGATACGATCTCCTTCTATTGTACACAGGTAATCAGCTTAGCAGTTTGAAGAATCGAGTGGATGAGCTGGACAAGGAGACGTTTACGTACAAGTATACCATGATTGATCTGAAGGAGAAGTTTGAATCTATTATTTACGAAGTCAAGTTTGAGCCAACACCAGAAGGCGGGAGCAAGAACGAGATGACGAGCACGTATTACATAGAGGGCGATGTTGAGCTCAAAGAAGAGGACATTAAGGCGGGCAAAGAGAGAGCCTTGGGAATGTACAAGGTTGCCGAAGCATACCTCCTCCAAATCCTGACGCTTATGTTTGAAACTTCAAATGCTCTCCTAAATAAATTCAAGAAGTCCTGTCAATAAGTACTCGTGATATTTTCCGTCTTCAGTTAGACGTATCCGAGTTCATTTACTTCTATATGGCTATAAAGGTCCCTTAGATTTAGATGGCAATAAAGATATGATATGTACTTTTTACATAGTTGTGAGTGATTCCTGTAATCGCCCTTCGAGAGGAGCTATTTGCAATGTTACTGATGGTTATATTCATAGAATTGTCACAATTATGTGGTACACTATTATCGTTTCTGTTTTAGTAATTTGTTCAAAGGATTATGAGTTAATTGTCTCATTCCATCGAGAAAATTCATATTCACACTCTTTAGAATAAGTTCAATTTTTGGAAAATACAGTATTTATGCATCTGAGCTTATATATCCCTTTCACGATGAATAATTTGGATTGTGCAATTATATTTTTAATTTTCCGTTGTTTCTTTTTTCATTTTGCAGAGCATCGTGTGTGCCCAATTAGCCAGTACTAGCTAGATATAAAAATTTTGATATTTCTCAGACAGAATCTGCAATAGCAGATCGGGAATCAGAAGAAAAGGCCATTTGAACATTAGGGGAGGTACACGAACCACATAGGTTATATCATGATTTTGATGGTATTGAACCATGACAGTAGCATTTTGTGTCGCTAAAAATCGCAAAAATATTAAGAAAATTCCCGGAAGATTGGCTAGATCATGGATTTATAAAATCATATCATTAAGCGGTCCGATTATCATGGAAATTACAAATACATTAACGCAAAAATTAACGGATAGAAAATCTTGGGCATTGATTTAAACTTATTATTATTTGATCGATGTACCAACATAAAACCAGCCCTTCCTAACAACACACGTATATATGCAAATTCCATCTATGTCGTGAGATTAAGAAAAGAGATCGGAGAAAGAAATCAGTTTTCTTCCGGTTTCAACAAAGGCATCATTTTTACGCATTCAAGTACGTTTTTTTAAATATATTTAATGATGCCTTCATCGAAATATTGGCCAATAGCCGGAATTTTATGTTAAATGATGATATGATGATGAGATATTCTAACATTTTGTACCAGAATAATGCTGAATTTATCAACTTATTCGAATGTCCTTTGGCCCTCCTGGAACTGCATTTGAAATTTAAGTATTAAATCATTCTATATGGAATCGGGCAATAACCAAAAGAAATCTGAAACTTTTCGAGGCAATATTGCACTTTCATTTCATTACAAGCAAGACGGTACACCGACATTGACGCTCGCAGTCGAGAGCAACATCATATGAAAGCCAAGATAAGTGGAGACGATTGCCTCAAAGATTATGTAATGATATACTGTTTTTTATCCTACTTAATGTTTTATTAGGAGCTCCCTTTCACCGGGGACCTTGAGCCGCTCCTTATTCTTGATGTTTCTTGTGTCCATATCCTGCAAAATACAGATAATTAATAATTTTTCTATCATTTGCAAAAGAAATCAATTTCTTGTTATTTTAAATAGTGAATAATGCATGAAACAGAAACGCATTGCATGATCGAATAAGAAAGTATGCTATTGGGAAAATGAGCATCAATACTGGACTTGTGTAAACAGATTGTTTGGATTCGGTTATTCTTGAGAGTGTCTCACCTTGCGAGTGACATGCATTCCCTAGTCGTCTCCACGCCTAGGAGGAGGAGGAGGAGGAGGAGATCTAAGCCCGCGGGGTGGCGGTGGTGGAGGAGGCCTGTTAGCCGGGGGAGGTGGTGGAGGAGGCCTATTAACCGGTGGCGGTGGCGGTGGTGGAGGAGGCCTGTTAGCCGGGGGAGGTGGTGGAGGAGGCCTATTAACCAGTGGAGGTGGAGGTGGTGGAGGAGGCCTATTAACCGGTGGCGGTGGCAGTGGTGGAGGAGGTCTGTTAGCCGGGGGAGGTGGTGGAGGAGGCCTATTAACCGGTGGCGGTGGCGATGGCGATCTAGGGGGTGGAGGTGTCGGAGGAGGTGGTGGAGGAGATCTTGAGGGTGGTGGAGGTGGAGGTGTCGAAAGAGGTGGTGACTTGGGTGGTGGAGGAGGCGTGGGTGGTGGAGGTGTCGGAGGAGGTGGTGACTTTGGCGGTGGTGGTGGCGGCGGAGGAGTGGGTGGTGGTGGTGGTGGGAGGAGGTGGTGGGTGGAGGAGGTGTGGGTGGTGGAGGTGTCGGAGGAGGTGGTGACTTGGGTGGTGGAGGAGGCGTGGGTGTTGGAGGTGTCGGAGGATGTGGTGACTTTGGCGGTGGTGGTGGCGGAGGAGTGGGTGGTGGTGGTGTTGGAGGAGGTGGCGGAGGAGAAGGCGTGGGTGGTGGAGGTGTCGGAGGAGGTGGTGACTTTGGCGGTGGTGGTGGCGGAGGAGTGGGTGGTGGTGGTGTTGGAGAAGGTGGCGGTGGAGGAGGTGTGGGTGGTGGAGGTGTCGGAGGAGGTGGTGACTTGGGTGGTGGAGGAGGCGTGGGTGTTGGAGGTGTCGGAGGTGGTGGTGGCGGTGGTGGTGGCGGAGGAGGGTGGTGGTGGTGTTGGAGGAGGTGGCGGTGGAGAAGGCGTGGGTGGTGGAGGTGTCGGAGGAGGTGGTGACTTTGGCGGTGGTGGTGGTGGAGGGTGGGTGGGGTGGGTGGTGGTGGTGGTGGTGGTGGAGGAGGTGGTGACTTGGGGGGTGGAGGTGGAAGGAGGTGGTGACTTGGGTGGTGGAGGAGGTGGTGACTTGGGGGGTGGAGGTGTCGAAGGAGGTGGTGACTTGGGTGGTGGAGGAGGCGTGGATTTTGCAGGTGTCGGAGGAGGTGGTGACTTTGGCGGTGGTGGTGGCGGCGGAGGAGTGGGTGGTGGTGGTGTTGGAGGAGGTGGCGGTGGAGGAGGCGTGGGTGGTGGAGGTGTCGGAGGAGGTGGTGACTTGGGTGGTGGAGGTGTCGGAGGAGGTGGTGACTTTGGCGGTGGTGGTGGCAGTGTTGGAGGAGGTGGCGGTGGTGACTTGGGTGGTGGAGGTGTCGGAGGAGGTGGTGACTTTGGCGGTGGTGGTGGCGGAGGAGTGGGTGGTGGTGGTGTTGGAGGAGGTGGTGACTTGGGTGGTGGAGGTGTCGAAGGAGGTGGTGACTTGGGTGGTGGAGGGTGGAGGTGGAGGTGTTGGAGGAGGTGGTGACTTTGGCGGTGGTGGTGGCGGAGGAGTGGGTGGTGGTGGTGTTGGAGGAGGTGGCGGTGGAGGAGGCGGTGGTGGAGGTGTCGGAGGAGGTGGTGACTTGGGTGGTGGAGGTGTCGGAGGAGGTGGTGACTTTGGTGGTGGTGGTGGTGGAGTGGGTGGTGGTGGTGGTGTTGGAGGAGGTGGCGGTGGAGGAGGTGGTGACTTGGGAGGTGGCGGTGGAGGAGGTGGTGACTTGGGTGGTGGAGGTGTTGAAGGAGGTGGTGACTTGGGTGGCGGAGGAGGCGTGGGTGGCGGAGGTGGAGGAGATCTTGGCGGTGGCGGTGGTGGCATGGGTGGCGGAGGTGGCGGAGGAGGTGGTGACTTGGGCGGTGGTGGTGGCGGTGGTGGAGGAGATCTTGGCGGTGGCGGTGGCGGTGGTGGCGTGGGTGGCGGAGGTGGCGGAGGAGGTGGAGACTTGAAAAACGGAGGTGGCAGTGGCCACCCAGGATGGGGAGGCGTTTTGGGCGGTGGAGGGGGTGGAGACTTATGGATCCATGGTGGAGGCAAAGGCTGCCACTGCCACCATGGAGGAGGAGGAGGAGGAGGATGAGAGTCGGGCGGCGGAGGAGATTTCCCAGGAAGTGAAGTGTGTATCGTAATACCAAGGTTTTCGGTGGCTTCCGTCGGCAAGCTAAGAGATGCTATTGCCACCAGTAGAGTGGCAACCAAGGAGGCCATTGAGGACCTCATCATGTTCTTCTCCAAGCTCGCCAAAGCTTGGATTTTGGTGATGCCAATTCCAAAGCTCTCCCGCTCTTTATATAGACTCTGCCATCACCTTCATATGAGTGAAAACCAAAGGGGGTAGAATTACTCAATAAACATACAAGAAGTCAACTATGATGAGAGTAAATGAAGTGCAAATCGTATCCATAATCTCTTCTTCCTTTTTTTAATATTCATGTGTTATATCTTTCTTGTATGTCAGCCACAATCAAGGAAAATTAGGAAATCCAATTTCTATTTTTGGGTTAATACTAGTTCGCAAGTATTTGGGGTGGATCTAACTAGAGAAAGGCATAATTCCGTCGAAAACTCTTCATCGCATTTAACAGCTTTGATTCCAAAACGATCGATATGACTCGACTACTATTGGACGGAAGATGGTAACTCAAGGATACTAAATTCATTGATTATCAAAGCTAGCTTGAGTTCGATAAGTGCATGTTATATAGCTCATGCTCTTAGAAATAGGAAGTTATGGAGGAAACACATACACATAACTAATAAATTATATATATATATGTGTTTCTTTGTTTTTTACAGAATTACACTTTTAGTCTCTCAAATTTCAAATCTTCGTAGTCTAGCCCTTATAGTATTATTCTGTTATTTTTCTAATACTATCTAATACAATCTCCCCCCCCCCCCCCCCTCCCCCAAAAATAAAAATAAAAAATTTCATGGAGTGGTAGAATCTTATGGTGTTGAGTCTCTTAACTCAAAAGTCACCACTAGCAAGGAATTTCATTTCCGTCATTAATTTCTTGCGTTATATTTGAATAAAGGAATAAGGGGAATCCTAAATCCAAATTAAAAAAAAAAATTGCAATATTTAATTAAACAAAGATTTACATAGAGTTAATGAGTAAACTAATTTGCTTTTAGAGTGATAAGTACTTCAGAGATATTTTATACTCAAAACTTTAATATGAAAGTTAGGACAACTAAAATTTGCAACAAGAGTATCCTATGAGGTCACATGGCGGTAACGTTGAATTATTACTAGGGGTGTGCTTGTTTCGGAAAAAAATATCATGATAAAAGAAAATATTTTCCGATAAATTATTTTTCAGGAAAATACTTTCCCATTTTTTCAGGTTATGGAATTAATTTTCCTAACTTTAAACGTGCATTGTTTTTTTTTTTTGCTGTAAATGATTTTCCATCGGCTGATCGATTTCAGCAAATCAATATATAATGGTCCACAAAACTAATTTGCGAAAAACTTTTTCACTTATACAAACACACCCTTCTATGTTCTCTCTTAGGACGAGAAGAAGCCCCCTTACATGATTAAGCTCGTAATGTCTCATTATCTCATGGATCAAGTAAAACGGAAGCTTTCGGCCAATAAAAGAGGAAGTAAAAACGTAAGCTGAAATTCAGATTTGTGGTCCAAGAACGAGAAGGTTAGTGCCCGTTCGCCGAAACCACGAGTCAATTCCATTGTTCATTAATCACTGAAATCAACTCCAAAGAATGTGTGAATGAATTAGGTGCAATCACGAGTATGTTTGACCTAAAAACGTCGGGCTCGCTAGTTTTTCTGGTGAGATTGCCAAATTTTTGAAAGTGAGACACCCCCATGCGTTGATACGTGGTGAAACTGAGGGACCTTATGCTATAACATATTAAATGGTACACCCGTCGCATTGACACTTGACGGAAAGAGCCTTAGTCTCAATACTATATGGCACATTATACTAAGGGTGGGTTTGGTAACATTTCCGTTCTCGGAAATATTTTTTTTTTTAGAAATAGTTTTTTCTATTATTATTTCTTGCACGAGTTTCTAAGCAGACGAAAGCATTTGGTAACTGTATAAAATATATATTCTCGGATATAAAAAGAAGAGAAAAGCTTTCGGTATGACCCTAAAAAAATTTTGTGATGTGGAATTTTTTGAGATTTTTCTAATTTTTTTTCTTTTCTTTTTTTCCTCCATTCTTCTTCCTCCTCACCGAGCCACCACAAGGTCGGCCTCGCCAGGCCACCGCGAGGTCGACCTTGCCGGCCATCGCCGAGGCCCGGTGACCGGCTAGAGAAGGAAGAAGAAAGAAGGAAAAAGGGAAAAGAAAAAAAAATGACTTGTTTCATAAATTATTCTCGGACATAAATATGTAGGTTTTTTTTACTTCTTGTTTATGTTTCAAATCTATTCCCTGACCACTTTTCTCATCCGGGCAATAGAAAAACTAATAGACGTTACCAAATGGATTTCTTTTCTTTTTTTGTTCCGGAAAACAAAAAATCGAAAAAAATTAGAGAAACAAAATTATTACCGTATAGGCCCTAAGAGACTGCCCGGTGATTTCTCTAGTTTTGTAGATGCCGGTCCCTTTTCTCCTAACAATTCCTCGCATCTCCAATGCTAGCCTGCTAGGGTAGTGTAGATTATTAAATTTAAAGTAGCTTGAGGTCGCTAACTATGGATCTATCTATCTAGAGATGCTATTATCCGTCTATATATATATAAATATATATGTGCGTGTATATATATGCTGCTATATATGTATTTAGGTTAAAGAAAATTAGGGAGTATATTTGGCTTCAAAGAATAAAAATGAGGAATATATATTGGTGGCTATCATGTTATGTTTCAACCTTAAGACAGCAACTATGTCATAAAGATAACATAAATGAAATAAAAAATTAGTGAAGGTTGATAGGTAGAATTAACGTTTCTGTTCTTTCTCTTTTTCTTCTTTTATTTCCCTAAAAGAGAAGGTAGAATGAGTCGATGCAAAAATATACTAATAAAAGCTAGGTCAAATTATGACCTAACTGGATTTAAATACCGAGATGCTAGGCTACGGCTAGGAAGAGCCCCAAAGGAAGGTAGCCAAATTAAGGGATAATGATACCGCAAATATCTTAACTTTTTTCCAATCTATCGACAAAATTACTAACTTGGTACTAACTAGGGGTGTCAAAACTAAATACGATACCCGAATCGAAACACGAACCGACCCGACCCAAACACGAAATTTTCTTATTGGGTCGGGTTAGATCTCAACTTGTTTGGGTAACAATAAAGATAATTGGGTATTGTTTGGATCTATTGGGCTTGGGTACCCAAGCCCAACCCAAACAAGGAAACCCGGTCGTGCATCACCCCCTTGTTCTCGGCGATGAAGGCCCCGACCTCCAGGAACTTCTGCCTCAGGTCGTACTCGATCTCGAACACCCTCTTGCACCTCCTGCACTGCACCTCCCCTGTGATGCTCTCTATCCGGTTCGCGAGGAGGTGGCTCATGCTGTGCACGGCGGCCCGCCGCGTCGTTGCTCACGGGAACGGCGCGGGATGCTCTCCTCGCCGTCTCCGCAGCCTCCCGGGGTCGGCGGCGGGGTCCGCCGCCGCGGCCGCGTGGGCGGCCCGCGGCGCCTCGGAGGAACGGCGAGCTTGCCAGGGCGAGGCAAGAGGGATTTCGCAGACAGGAGCTCCGACTGTCGCTGGTCTTGTGGGGCGGGAGAAATGGAGAGCGAGAGGGCGAGGTGGTGGTGGTGGTGGTGGTGATCGGGCTCGTTCTCGCCGCCGTCGAGGTCGGAGAACCGCCTGCTGGCGGCGGCGAGCTGGCTGTTCTTCCTCTTCCGGCTTAATGCGGAGCCGCCGTTCATCATCGCCTTGCCATACACACCTTCCGGTGGCGATCGGACGACGAGAACAGCCACGGATTGCTCCGCCGGAGACGTGGGTCTGTCACGGAGGAGGACGGCGGTGATTTCGGGGGGAGATCTCGCAGAGATTGATCGGAGATGGAGATGGAGACGATGGCGATGATGGAGTTGAAGAGAGACGGTTGCGCTCGCCGCGGTTGTTATGGTTCTCGTTCGAAGTCAATGGGGGAGTTTGCGTGGCCCGCCCTCCCGGCGCCCGCTAGGGCTCCCGCTCCTTCCTCGTTGAGGTCGTCGCCGGAATCCCCCGCGCCGAGGACTTAGCTGATGGGTTGTCGGAGCTGTCCGTATCGGAGGTGATTTGTTTTTTTGGGGCTTTTCGAAGCTGTCCGTATCGGAGTTGGGATGGATGAGAAAAGGTTCGTTTGGCTGAGTTTGAAACACGGAACCCGACCCGGATCGACCCGACCCGATCACTTGGCTATATCTTGTTCGGGTCTTGTCTCGGGTCGGGCCGAGCACACCTGTCTAGTATTTTGGGTCGGGTTGAGTATCATGTAAACCCGACCCGACCCGACCCGACCCATTGACACCCCTAGTACTAACACGGTTAGGTAACCGTTTAAAACGATGATTTGGCGTACTTACACGACAAAAATTGTCCAAAGATGCTGATTTGGCTGGGCAAGGTTGAGCCTCGCCGGCCCTTATCTCTAGCCGGTCGCAAATATATTAATTTTTGTTCGTTTTTAAATCAAGAACCTAACATTTTCTTTTGTTCAATCACACGCCTCAATTTTTCAAATTAGCCTCAATGTGGTGCTTCTGTTAAATCTATCGACAGAAATTATTGGCTTGGTACTAACGCGGTTAGGCAACCGTTTAGAACGATGATGTGGCATGCTTACGCGACAAAAATTGTCCAAAGATGCTGACTAGGATGACAACTAAGACTAAAAATAATTAATAATGTTTTTTTCTCTTTGTTTCTTTCTTCTTTTCCTTCTTCTTATTCTTTCTTCTTCCTTCTCTGTCCAGATATGGCCCTCTCTTCTTCTTCTTCTTCTTCTTCTTCTTCTTCTTCTTTGTGTAGCCACAACCGTTGTGTCATGAAGCCATCATCAATGACGACCTCTCTGAACCCATCACCGCGGCACCCTCATTTTTGGCGTCATCTCTATCGGACCTGCAACTCGTGCCGTACCCATCACCCACCTACAAATGGCAACACGTTAATTGATTACTTTTTAACTGTATAGACTTCGACTGCCGGTCTAGAGTTTTTTAGGGGTTTTGCTTCAATCTATAACGCACTGCCTCCGACTCGAGGGGCGACCTCTGTCTAAGGCGAGCCACATCCTAATCGAAGCACG